ATTTTTATCTCGAAACCAGAATATTGCCAGTAGAATGATCAATTTCTTAAACACATCATACAATTAATTCCAAGTCATTTACCAAGGTTTAGGCATACACAATGGTCGAATGTGTTTGATGACCATGTTGTCCATACTATTATATATAACTATTTTACGTCATGTAATATTTCTATGAGGTAATAAATACATTTTTTTCGATTATAATTGTGTCTATATTTATACTCTAAAACACAGGTTTTGAACTCATAGTGGGTAAGGAGGACAACACAGATAGACCAGTAAATGGTAAAATATTTACAATTAAATAGGCCCGTCCTTACGTGTTTCCTTTTAGTTGGCGCGCAATACACAGTTTGATCCATGACAAATGGGAGCGAACTTGTCTCCGGGGAAGAGTACAGTCTAGAACTCTATAGCGGAGTTATGTCCCGTACTCAACATCTTCATCAGTTGCAGCTAAAAATAAGATGTTATTTTGCATGTACATATATCACCAACTGGATTCAAATTTATTACCTAAAATTCTGATATACAGTGACGGGAAAGAGGAAGAGAAACTCAATCGCCCTTGCAAAATAAAAGAAAGGTTACCTACATTGACTAAATATAAGACTGAAGTATGGTCAGACACACGGAAAACATAGTCATATCTGCTGCTTTCAGAAATGTCTTAGAATAGAAAAAATATGGACATACATCTAACGATGTTAGGCCATTGTTCGTGAGGAACATGCTCTACTGGTGAGGTGTCAATATCATGATGGTTTCTTTTACGTCTAGCAATTTATTACAGCAATTAAGTGAAAAATGATAAATATTGTACATATCGTTTGATATCTAACGTTCGAAGATAGCAATATACATTTCAAACATAAAATGTGTGTTTGTAAAAGTTTAATGTTTCATTTTCTTGCTGAAAAATCGAGATAATTATTTTATAAGATTGGCATGTGTGTATGAAGAATGAAGCGATAACGAATTAATTCCATTTTACAGCATACTATGGCATTGTATCTCGGCAATTCCTGTTATCTTATGATATTGACACCTTACCAACAGAGCATGCTCNATTTTTTTCGATTATAATTGTGTCTATATTTATACTCTAAAACACAGGTTTTGAACTCATAGTGGGTAAGGAGGACAACACAGATAGACCAGTAAATGGTAAAATATTTACAATTAAATAGGCCCGTCCTTACGTGTTTCCTTTTAGTTGGCGCGCAATACACAGTTTGTTCCATGACAAATGGGAGCGAACTTGTCTCCGGGGAAGAGTACAGTCTAGAACTCTATAGCGGAGTTATGTCCCGTACTCAACATCTTCATCAGTTGCAGCTAAAAATAAGATGTTATTTTGCATGTACATATATCACCAACTGGATTCAAATTTATTACCTAAAATTCTGATATACAGTGACGGGAAAGAGGAAGAGAAACTCAATCGCCCTTGCAAAATAAAAGAAAGGTTACCTACATTGACTAAATATAAGACTGAAGTATGGTCAGACACACGGAAAACATAGTCATATCTGCTGCTTTCAGAAATGTCTTAGAATAGAAAAAATATGGACATACATCTAACGATGTTAGGCTATTGTTCGTGAGGAACATGCTCTACTGGTGAGGTGTCAATATCATGATATAGTAAATATTGCCGAGATGCATGGCCATAGTGTGCTGTGAAATAAAATCATTTCGTTTACACGTCATTCTTCTTTTTATGGCCTTCGGTATACTAAAATGTATGCCGATTGATGACATTCTGTCGTTGCAGGAACCACTATCATCTATATCTTTTAGCAACAATTGCAAACATTACACTGTTGCAAAACATATTTATATATACTTAAAAGGCTTGTTTATTCAAAAAAATATGTTGCTATCTTCATTAGATATCAAAACACAATATTTATGATTTTATACATTGAGATAAATTGATAGACGTAAAGAAAACCATTATGAAATCAAATTTGAGGTACCGCAGTATTTGCATTATCACAACCCATTTCAGGGATTGTATGATGTATACAGAAAAAATGACGGATGAACTATGTATAAGGAATGTTGCAAAAACAAAAATTGATAAAGTATTTCATGATTAATACACGAGTGGCTTTATTGTTCCGTATATTATTATTATCTGAATGCTATTAAAAACAACGCCTTAAATAAGAATGACGTAACATTGAATACTATAGATGGTTAGATTATCACCAACCGTCCACCTGTCATAAAGAAAGGTTGATTCATCATAGAGGATGCGTGATTCGTTAGCGTTGGAATAGCTGTGGTTGCCATAAGTACCGTTGTGATGAAGACAACTGTGGCTAGCATGGGTGCCGTTGTGATGTGAAAAACTGTGGTTGCCATGGGTGCCGTTGTGGTTTAGGGTAACTATGGTTGCCATGGGTGCCGTTGTGATGTGAGAAACTGTGGTTGCCACGGGTGCCGTTTATAATCGCGGATAAGTATTGTATTACGACTTCCGTTGTGATGAGGGAAACTGTGGTTGCCTAAGGTGCGGTTGTGATGAGGGAAACTGTGGTTGACATGGGTGCCGTTGTGGTTTAAGGTAACTGTGGTTGCCATGGGTGCTGTTTTGATGAGGATAACTATGGTTGCTATGGGTGCCGTTGTGATGTGAGAAACTGTGGTTGTCACGGGTGCCGTGTTGCCTAAGGTGCGGTTGTGATGAGGGAAACTGCGTTGTGATGAGGGAAACTGTGGTTGCCTAAGGTGCGGTTGTGATGAGGGAAACTGTGGTTGACATGGGTGCCGTTGTGGTTTAAGGTAACTGTGGTTGCCGTAAGTGCCATTGTAGTGAGGGTAACTATGGTTCACTTGGACGCCGTTGTAATAAGCGTAACTGTGAATGCGATGGGTGCCGTTTTGATAAGGATAACTCTTGTTGCTATGGTTACCGTGTTGATGAGGGCAACTATGGTGGCCATGAGTACTGTTGTGATAAGGAAAACTATGGTTGCCATGTGTACCGTTATTGTTTGGAAAGCTGTACTTTCCATGTTGATTGTATTTGTGGTTAGACGTGTTATTGATATATTCAGGATAAATATATCCGGTACCATTCGTTAGTTGCAATTGTGGAAGAGGTTGTCCATATTGGAAATTCAAAAATGCATCCCTATACAGAAAGTGAAATAGTTTAAAGTGTGACAGGAAAATACCATCTTTACGTCTAGTGACTATTGAAGATATACAAAAACCAAAACGAGGCTTATTCACGACCAAACCTTAAAAATGACGCATTCTTTTATCGATTTCCGTAATAATTGGATTATCTAAGTGGTTGTTTTGCCATTCAATAATTCCAATCACGTTTTCCCCTGGTTTTACACCCATTTTCCTATCTTATAACTATTCCAAATACTGCCCAAACGTATGCTTTAAGTCGATTAGATCTTGGAAAAATTTCGGGCCTAAACGAAATATGCAAAATATAAACACTGCAGAAAAGTTAAAATATATGAAAAAATGGTACAATTGTGTGACCGCACAACGCACCAAAAGTACCGTGCGCGCACCGTCCGCACATCGTCCACACATGGTGCGGACAAATGTGCGATTGAACAATTGTTCGCCCCGTTGTGCGCTTTTCTCCGCACAACTGTGCGATTTGGTACAATTTGTTGATCAATATTACGGAATGAAAAAATACGGAAGGCTCGTATGCAATAATATACACTGTATATATTACTGTTTCTTCTCATCACAATAATTAAGATTATGTACAATTTTAAAATGCGTGTTACACAGTGTAACAGTGACCGTTAGACTGTCAGGAATGGGTTTTGCTCCTAGGTAACAGAACAGGTAAATAACAATTTGATAAGTGACCGGAGTTTTACCTAGCCTGTGCCTGACACAAATAGCTGATATGTGATACCGTATGACCGTTATGAAAGCACAAACTGGACGTTTCCAGTATTTGTTATTTACATTCGTGTTGTTCTATAGCTCCCCTTCACTTGGTTTTCACACCTGCGCGATTTACGTACATGTAAGTGCCCCTCTGGTGTTTTATGACGTTTTATTAAAAATATGAACATATAGGGTAATATCAAGCAAAAAATAAATAATTCAAAATGTTATAATTTATTTTCAATCTGATTTGTGATAAAAATGTTTGATAATGTCTATGTTTCCTGCTGTGATAATGGTGTAGAAACACTCAGCGTAAATACACAATGACAAACACAGAGCTCATAGATATCGGGCGTCATTTTTAAGAATGCATACATATAAAATTATATAAGTTGGTTTAACCTAAGTTCATTTTTTGAACAGTTAGAAAGATCCTCTTTAAGCTTAAATGGAAAAGAGGATACAGTATTTTTTAAAATATTATTTCATTTCATACAAACATGTATCAAGGGACAACAATATTTCACGTTAAAGTTGCAATTACCAATTTGTGGGGAAAGTATGCTTTTTATATGCATTTCGAAAAGAATAGAAGCTGATCACTGATCGAATAGACCATGGGAAAAGAATGTCGTAAATTCCATCAAGACCAGCCTACAATGAGCGTTCAGTTGTTTGCCGCCATTTCCACCTTCGGAGCAAGTTTGAGTCTGTTTAAAAGCACGTAAAGTTGTCAAAAGTGGTTTTCCATTCCATTCTGTTATATTTTTGGCACTGCGAAAGTCATTTTAATATTCTTTTATTGAAATGATTATCGATTCATTAAAGTAAAGTACTAAATCCACGCTTAACAGTTAAGGATTGCATGCTGTTCTTTTAAGGTTCATGTGGTACAAACTGCGATGCAGTATCGGCATTGTGAAAATCAGGGAAGATTCCAAAGCAAATGACGTCATCACGTACTGGATGACGTCGTCCTAGGAGATAAATAGTTGTTTTGCACAGATTACAGCGTTAAGACTATATAACATATAACTCTTCGTTAGAAATTTATTTCGAATTTCTGACAAAACAAATGAATAAAAACGATAAAACACAACTAAACGTCCTATCTTATGCTATATTTTAATCTTATGTTACAATTTTAGTGAACATGTTAGATTAAAGAAACCATTGTTGTCGAAGGAGGATGATGGTGATGAAGTTGGTAGACAGATGACCCTGCGCACATGCGCTCTAAATGTAGGCTTAACTGGTTGACTTCAGCGTGAGACAGCGGTGTTTGTATTCCCCTTCTCAGCAATATCATAATTCTTGACTAAAAAACAAAAAGTTATTTTATCATCACTTTATTCAACACAGTTGTGTTGTCATCTCGTTTGCTTTTTACATTGCTTAACAACTGGAATTTCCGCCATGCTTGAAAAGTACATATCTACGCAAATTCAATATTTAATTTGGTAGGTATTTAATTTAAAATAATCATACCTCTGCCGCCAGTAGCCCCTCCTCTGTGTGAATGTCTGGGCTGTTCTTCTCTTGACTCGATAGATAACAATTATGACCAAGTTTCAGTGCCACGAAGCCCTATTAGAAAAAAAGAAAGACCTTGTTGAGTGTATATAAAACAAAACAAATCACACATGCAATGTGATTTATAGCATGGATATTGCTATAATCAGTATGGTATCCGATTCCTTTTTTTATTCCGAGTTACAGTTATGGGATCGAACAACGTTCCACGATGTGCGATATGCTCGTGATGTGTGCACGGTGTGTGAAAGATGTGCAAACGATAAATATCAGGACGATTATTCCTTGCGCACATGTGTGCGGACGATGGACGACCGTTGTGCGATTACAATCGTGGTTGGTATAAATTGAGAAATGGCTTAACAATATATACAGTTTCGTATTTCAATATATAAACTTGATTTTTTAAGTATTTTTTCTATTTTTTTACCGACATGTATAAGCTATATTTTCTGAAACTTAGAAATGGTGTTTCAGTGTTTTGAAACTTCCCAAATCGACACATGTAAAATAATAACACATTTGGAAACGGTCTTAATGTGGGAGGAAAGCCGAGTACCGGGATAAAACCCACGTGGTCGGGCAGGTGACACCATACCTTTCACGTCTGATCGGGGAATCGAACCCCGGCCGCCTTGGTGAAAGGCAAGCGATATCCACTGCGCCACCCAACCACCCAAATATTTCAATATGTGTATATGATTCAATTTAGCTATATAACCTAGCTAACTGTCTCAAAATATCAATGATTTCTGTTTGTTACGTAATCGTTATAACAAAACACACGTTAGTTATGATTAGAAAAGTATTTTCTAGTAGGTTGATTCTGTTTATTATACTTCTATCAATTTATATAAAATTGTATATAATATCCATCCATATGTCTTTTTATGGTATGAATACACCGTTGTTCACAATTATTTACTTTTTAAGCTTTTCGTGTGGCATTTTATACGCGGTACTCAATGAGTCAAATCAGTGGATACAAATGGAATCAAAATTCGGATAATATATTGGTTTTCATGTCTGGTCAACTAACTTTGGTCAAGCTGCGTATGATTTAGCGATGTACTCTTAATATTAAGCTTTTAGAAATTTAAAAGTCTTGGCAGTAAAGAAGGACTTTTAAATATATTTTGACTGTAAGTCCTGTAGAACCAATTGATTAATATGCAATCAGGGAGGAGAGAGGTATTGGCAAATTGTTTATCGTGACATTTAATACTTTCTCAAAAAAGTTTTAAACTTATTGGCTGAAAACTTTCATAAAATAATTTGGTAATGACTCTATATGTGCCCGCGCCTTTTAAATATTGACCTATTCAGAGGGGAATCGACCTTTGTGAAGTTGATAAACATGGTTATCTTTTAAAAACAATAATACAGATAGTGTTGGTGTTCACTGCTATTAAAATTACTCGAATACGAAGCTGAAACTCATTTTTAAGTCCGAAACAAATAGAGCGTATTTGTTGATAGAAGGTTGGTAAAAGTTATTTATCATCGTATGTATATTTTCCAAAAATATTCATATTAACCTTTATAAACCATTGTGATTAAAATACATCATTTGTAGACATCAACAAACAATATCTGTTAGAAGATTTTTAAAAAAATCCAACAGTATAATAAGCCTTCCTCTGCTGAGCTGATCTTTGTATTAGTTTTATATTTTATATAGGTATCTCATACAAATGCACTTATAGCATAGTATAGAAACACTTTGTAAGTCGAGTTTGCTTCCAATATAGGACAAACATAACAAAACTGTGTCTTTAAGTACAAGGAAACCGGAGCAATGGATAGCCCTCTTATCTTTCAATAGCGCTGTATAGAATCTCCGACTGGGTGTGGCCTTGATATATCGGTCAAACCATATCTACCGTCGTAGATTCCATACAATGAACCATTTAAAGCATTTTTAACTATTGTTGGATATTTAATATTTTTTTCATACGTGTAATCTTCATACATATCAGCAATAGTGTTAAAGCATATTATCAAATCTAAATATATAAGTTAAGAGATAATAATAAACGTATGATAAATAGTAGACTCAAATAATAATGAAAAAAACCAAGCTGTACAATTGTTCTTCCCTGAAGGGTGAAATAGTAAATATACATAAAACACATAATTACCTACTTATATGTAAATGAATATTAACATTCAATGTTGGCAGTAATTTCAGAAATGTATTGCTTTTCGAATTTTCAAATCCATTTCTATAGTATTTATTTTATGATACACTTATACACATTGCATATTAATATAAGTACTCTTGGTATATATGTTTTGTTCTTAGGTCTAAATCACTATTTAGCACGTACTGAAAGGCCATCGTAGTAGAATGATGCTGCGTCTATTTCGTTGTTCTCGTTTGAAGAAGCAGGTGCAGCGTATATCTGTAGAAAGAGACATAAGAATGTGCAAATATCTTATACGGTTTATTTTACTTCAGAAAACATGTTTTCTTATCATCGGGGATTTGCCAAAGAACAATATGACAAGAAAAAACATTCGGGATGATAACGGGAGAAGGAACAGGACACAAACGTTGAGGTGTTATATATCTACGTAAACGGCAATTATGACGACATATTTTATCATTTAAACTCATCATTTGAACAAAGAGGGATCGATGTGTAAACGCATCATCATTTAGTTTTAGCGAATGTGACTATGAAGAACTAGAAAATTAACCCACAGGTCTTAAGTGCATTTTAGGGTAAGTGGTCCGTTGTTCGCTGTCAAGATCTCTGTAACCATTCGAGCTCATAACAGGGTACATATACGATCCTTACAGAGAACATTAGACCATGAACCCTATCAATGATATGTATATCAACTTATTTTAATTATACAGTATAACATAACCCCTGCTGTTCTCCAATCAAAGAGTTGATGTATCTTATTCTTCCGTTGCAAGATGGGACCAATTTTGATCTCTTCCAGAATCAAGGGTGTTCGTCTGTACCGGCTGCCTAAAAGACTTACAAGAGCCTCAAATATCTTGTGTTAAAGATTTACAAGTGGCTAACGACGTTTCAATTCTAAAGTTCTAAATTTTCATTTATTTTTTTCATTTGGATAAAGTTTATTATTATTACTTTCTTTTAAAATATTATCATCCAAGTGTAATATGATTTTAACTGGAAGATTGTCTATCTCACCTTTACATTTTATCGTTTACTATTACAGTACATAAACGTAACTTTGCCACTTGCAAGCAAATCTGCTTTGAATGTAAATATAGTTGATTTTTCTTTTTCTATTCTAATTTTGAAAGAAAATAAAAACACAAACAGAACAACATTTAAAACATAATATCAAGGTGAAAGTTAATATTAGGTAATAGTGTTTACTACTATTAAAATAATAAAATATATACGCCACCTGTCCGATAACGCAGAAAGCGACAATGAAAATGGCCTGCATACTTGATGTCCTTTCAATGGAAGAGTTGTCGAAAATGCTGTTAAAATGAAATCCGCGGACTGAACTTGGAGTTCGCGTCTTTATATTATTCGGTGATAAGACTGTGAGGCACTGTGAAGGGATATTTTACGAAACACAAAATAAATTTACATCGGGAAGAGCGACTGGTCCGACGAAAGTATATTTGCTGTCTTCTAACTATATGTAACTGGAATAGAAAGTTATTGCTACTCATTTGATGCATTGTTCCCTTGCAGGTTAACCAATGACAACACAACATTGTCTTTACAGTTTGCCAGTGATCATTTGACATGTCAACACTACTATGATTTTCTATACGCCGCACTTGCTGTCCATTCCACCTACAATCATATACATGAGCCCAACGAAAAAGATCCATCAACCTTTTTTTGCGATGGAGCTTTCTGTACCTGATAATTTGTAATGTTGACCTTTACTATAACAAAAATGCAATAATAGTATATTAGTAAGTATGTATAAATATTATATGTTGATCATTCTTATTTTCAATGCAAATTTTTCAAAATGATTATTGTTTTCTTTGAAAGAATTACTCATATGCATCCATTGGTACAGGCTTTAAAAAAATATAAAACAAATAATACAACCAAATTTGTCACTGTATGGTGGCTTGATTTTTACATTGCGTATGTTTTTTATGTAACATCATTTTGCTTACATCATCTGGCATTGCAGTGGGATCGAAAGACAAGACTGCAGTTGACAAAATGATGTTAACTGGATCCCCAATCAACCATTTAAAACAATAAGCCGACATCACAAATGGTAACAACAAAATTTGTTAAGATATTTTTCGTTTTTTTTATCTTTGATATCAAAGTATTATTTGCTGTAATCTTAATTTTGAAAGAATCTGTTTGAGATTTGTAACATTGCAGTTTAATATTACATTAAAAAATCAAGGTTGAAAGGTACCAAAACTATGTTATCCATAAATTCGTCTTCTGCCATAGATCTAAGACAGTGTTATTCAAAGATAAGAAATGACACGAACCTTTACTCTTCCATTGAACTTTTATCATGTCTGTCTCATAACTGGAACAACGCGTGATAGTATACTTTGATACTATCAGTGAATTCGTTTGAGAACTTTGTACACAATACACCGAATGAACAAGAGGAGCATGGGTACGCAAAAGACATAGAGGGTTGTAGATGACCCTCCATAATAATTATAATTTCTATAGGACGTTTGCAAAATCGTGCCATGTGTTTTTTTAAAACAACCTGAAAGCATGTATGTAAAATCGCTATCAGCAATATCGTAACATATGTAAAATGGCTGATATCAGAAAGCCATGCATGAACTTCAATTTCATAACGGTCAAGTGTCCGCGTAGTGGGTCATAGGAAGGGAAACGTGACATGTTCTGGTATAATACAGGAAAGGCCCTCTCAACAAATATGGCGCAAAATGTCAATAGTAGTTGTTTTATTTAGGCGTTCAGCAAATAATGTCAGTGTTTTTATTGTCATTGTTTCTAATAATTGGTCGACATAAAGAAAGTTCGCTCCTACTAACCCACTTACTCTGAATGCATATTAATCGACTGGTCTTCAAAATTACATTCTAATTGTTCTTTTTAGTCTCTCAGTATTTCGAAAACGTTTTAATACCTAAAATCCTACTAATAAAGACTCATTGTTCAATCTTCCGATGATTTGGCAAAGCTGTATAACCTAACCTGAATACAGAGATATTGTGGCAGTTTTATTTCAGTTGCACCTCCATTCTTAAATAATTAGGTGCCTTATATCAAATTTAAAAAGAAAATCTTAAACCACTTTGTGGAAGTTCTCAATCAGATGAATGCAATTTGAACCAAAACATTGTGAGCAATAGAGTATGCGTGCCAGAACCAGACATATGAGTAGCAATATATATTATATCAATTCGTATAATTTTTCAGAAATATGGTAAATATCAAATCTGTGTTTCATAATAAATGTTTATCAATTACCGTTTAAACAATAGATATATTTGCTGTATTGAAAGGTTGATATTTATTTTTCTGAAAAGGTGGATATAAGTAACAAACAAACATAATTGGTGCGTTGAACACGTCATGTAATGAATAGACTGGACACAATAAAAAAACATGAGGCGTGCAGAAAACTTATAACTGACAAAAGTTACAGCAGTTGGTGAATGAAAAGAACAATTACGGCACCGAAGGAGTAGTCATCCGTATGTTAGTGAATTTTGAAGAAAATTAGTATCTAAATAAAATATTTAAATTCTCTGACCGTGCTGATCTGCCCTTGACTGTCGGAGAAAATATATCACCTAACAAATATCTCTACACTTAGCACACCATACCGTACACCACGAGAAGATGATTACAAAAGACTTATTCGCAAGGCTACTCCATACGTATTTGATGATTGGGTAGAATCTAAAGGAAATGGGTGAAGTCTAGGATGAAGTTATACTTATATAATTCCAAATTTCATTTGACATTTTGTTACAGGTTCTGTGATTGGCTAATAGTAGCACAAGTTACCAAAAAACCAGCTGTTTTTCCATGGGACTACTTTTAAAGTTTTTCAAATCCCCATTTTACAGTATTGTCGTTCGAGTGGTCTCCCACTGGAAAAACTATACTCGCCGTGAACAAAATATGCAAGATCTACTGTTTATCATTAGTATTTAGTTATTGTATCTTTGTCTTATTTTTCATTAATTTACGTATAAGAGTTTTTAAAAGAAATTCTTTAAATCTAGTTAACCATACTCACAACAGTGACAATTTCTGTCGTCTTACCAAATCGAATCAGTACCCGAATCGGATCACTTTTTGCCAAAATACTTTGAAATCAAGAAATGTGTCAACAGATCAGTTATAACAATGGTATAGACTTAGAATAGCTAACCATGCACCATTCTTTGTCAACATATGGTTAGTGTTTCAAATAGCACCAGCAAACGTAATTCAAACTCAAAAGTGTTTTGTTTACGTTGTTAAAAGATGGTGCGTGCGACGACTATGCATTCTGTTTTGGACTCTAGGAATAAATTCACACTATAGAAATATTTGTTTTTATATAAAAATACTTGTTTTTATATAAAAAATAATTGTTTTTATATAAAAAATACTTGTTTTTATGTCAAAAATACTTGTTTTTATATCAAAAAAATACTTGTTTTTATATAAAAAATACTTGTACCTGCAAAAGGCTTGATCCTGACATTCGCAAAAACTGTAAACGCTGATTGGTGATGTCAGAGCGTTCTATACATATCTCGCGTGAACCCCTGGTGCTTGTAAGAACACCCATCGGTATTCTTCCTTTGATACAATCATAAATGAATATAATTCATCCTCAGAATATTCAATTAATGAATAAAATGATGGTTTGGTGATCCGATTTCTCCTTAGACGATATCAATCTGACAAAGCTCAAACTGACAATATTTCGATGTCACATATGGGTCCGCACAATGATCAAACTAGTGACGATAATAAGGAATTAATCTGGGTGTTTCCAACATTAGAAAGTATTAACTGAGGTGAATTTGCTTGCACACATACTGTATTATCCATGAATGTTCACGAATATGACGAACGCAGCATGCAAACACAAGTCCTAGGCCTACTTACGCCGCACATAACAAGGCAGAGACTACAACAAAACGAACCCCAGGGTTGGAATTACGACACATTATGGTCCTTCAATTACATACGAATAAGAGTTCTCTCATACTTTTTATCCATGAAAGATCAATAGACACAAAAACGTGACGAGTCTAGCTAATGCACTTTCCGTCATAATAAAGAAAATCCTCAAACCGGGTGTCAACCCTGGCCTTTTCGGGCCGTCCTCCAGAACCAGTATCCATCGATGTCAACGTACAATGTTGTTAACTTTCTCTATGTGCATTTGCAAATTAAACCACTGCTAATGTTTTTATCAACAAGGTCGCTCGACCCGATGAAGCGGCTGTGGAAAATTGTTCACGTTAGTTAGTTTCGAGATCGCCGAAATGACGTTGCGATGTGACGTCATATTACTAAACTATTTTAAATTTATGAATGAATGAAAAACAATTCGTAATTTAAATTATGTTTTTGGTTTTCCTTCCCATTGATAGTGATTTGGAATTATAGGGATTGAATCTGGGATTTCCAATGTTCATGCAAATATGAATGGGTACAAATTTACTTCGCTACGGCCGCTCATGTGGTGTGTAAGTAAATTTTAGCCCGTTCGTAATTGCATGGACACTGGAAAAATCCAGATTCAATCCGTATGTAATGTTTTTGTTTACTTTTCAATAGAAAAGTAAACGTTGTTACAGATATCGACATTTCAATATTCAATCTTTTTATCAATAAAACAGTTGAATGTAGATGCCCTTAGAACAACTCCTCCTGTATCATGTTCTTGTTCTACATCTCTACAACTATTATCCGGCTTGACAGTTAGTAAGTAGTGATCTTATATATGATCCAAAATACAAAGTTATGATTTTTTCATGAAGGGTTGTAGGTCTTGATAGTCGACAGATAGACATGACATGGTTGGCGAATACGCAATAATTTTGCATTCCCGATAATTACATGAAACTCATATCTTCTACGCCTATAGAACAGCAAGAATTCATCAAGAAACGCTCCAGTTTCTGCGTTGCCTCGTTTCAAATTCCTCACTTTACATGTAAATTTTGCTCGAATGTGACCCATGGTAAGTTTGTTTAAGACGCCCGTCATCTGAATGTGTAATACTTATAATCGTGTTATTGATAAAATTGCGCATTTAAGTGAAGTTTTCACAATGTTCGTCTATACGTGTAAAAATGATAACACCGTTAGGAGTTGTTTAGGGAGCTCGCCGCTACACTCACACTTGTACACGAACATATTTCGTAATTTGTCTAATCAATAAGCCATAGAATATTATTACCAGAGGAGGGCAATCATTTGTTGGTTATGAATATAAATTCAGGTAGTCATGGTCGTCAAATTTTGTCAGAGATACTGGTAACGAGGCTGGGACCATTACGATACCGTAGGCAAATGTCAAGATATGAATCTGACAACGCCGAGAAGACAGTGTTTTATTGACATTCATATCTTTATGTCTTTGGCTTTCCATTTTTATGTCCCCAAACGAACTTGCTTTTGATGCATTTCTTTTTCTCATTTTACTTACGTCAAACGCTTTGCAGATGTTTTTAACTTTAGAAACTACGTGCCTGGTACTTATGAAGGTTATGTGAACAATGATGGGCGTGTTCTGTAAGACGTGCTTCATTTTTGATCGATCATCAAACATGGCCGCTAGTGCTTCTGATTTGTTAACACATCTGCTAGTGAAAATCAAGGTGTTGCGTTTTGTCCATCTCTATGTCTGATTATGCTCAAACCTTGGTATGAAGGTGTAATTATTCTTTCAGGTGCGTCAATTTCGAATTTGGGCTTGTTCGGGGGACTAACATAATTATCCCTGGTGTAATAAAAACGTTTTTCCAATGTAAAGCCACGTGAACAGTAATGTTTATGAAGTAAATTTATTGGGTATGTTCAGCAATGTTCTTCGGTTTTGGAACCTCCTCTCTCCTCATTGCTGTCTTTTATACTGACCTTTTCATTAGGTTTTTTTATTGGTACATTTCTAACATTTTGTTTTGAAAAAAAATGTGATGAAACCAGTTCGCGTGTTATAAACAGTTTTCTTTAATTGATATTCTTCTTTACGATTCTCCCTCTATCTCTGTGTGTGTGTGTCTCTCTCTCTCTCTCTCTCTCTCTCTCTCTCTCTCTCTCTCTCTCTCTCTCTTATAGTTGTTTATTATTTTGTATAAGAGTTTATTTTATTGTTCTTGCATTCTTTTTTTTGTAAATAAGAGATAGCGCTGTTATCTAATTTGTTTCATTGATTTATCGGGTGACAACAATTATTATTTAATAGGCAAACCAATATTAACAGAAGCAATAAAAGTGTCATTAATGTTTTCTTAACCCTACGGACATTTATATCTGTAAACACGAGTTAAAAAGCGGCTAACGTTTTTCAGAAGTTGTTTTAACTGCGATACCAAAGGAATTACTCGAAACGATTAAGGATGGTTTCCGAATGTTAAGCGTTCACTTAAAAGGAATCTATCTTTCTATAATTTTTTGCATACTGTTATAATAAGTTGAACTCAAAAATATTTTCGAACCAAGTAGAAATAGAATTTAACGATAACGGGGATATTATTCTTGAAATAAACCCAATGGAAAACATAAAGGTCACATAAAGAAAATGACAAGAAGTTTGTCGACAAATATGCTGGACGCTTGGGATGCTTTGCAAAGGATTTGGTACTCATTGGACTAATCGTGTTGCAAATAACTTGATCAAAGTACACCGTCAAGAATTGTAACAGTGACCAAAACTAGGGAACAAAGTATTAGTATACGATTAGTCGAGGACATACCTGGTATTGCAGAAATTCCTTACTAATCGAACGAATTCGATATATTTTGTTACTCATAATGGTGATATATTTGTTAATAAAATATGCCCTTAATGTCTAAACAAAACAATATGCTTTTAATTTCAGAGCTCTATATATTAACAATAGATTAACCATTTTGTTAACAGGATCATAGTTTGTTGAGTCGAAATTACACTTATAGCAAACTCCATAGGATAATTATAATTCGAAAAGTTTTTGAAATATGTGCAATATTTTAACATGCTTTATGTTTCATTGTGTGTTTGCAACTTCAATTCGATGTACCAATATGTTTGCCGAATAAGGAAGAGTAATAATGAAATACTTGTTTGAAAAACCTGTTTCTAATTTATTCACACAATTGTACTTTTGGTAGTGCTATGGTGAATCCTTGACACGACCTGTATGTCATGTCCTCTGCAAAAGTGTTCAATGGGCACGCTTAACCTCTTAGCATCTGCATGGGTCATCTGGGTATGCATACCAGCGGCTACGAGGTACATCAAGATACTCTGGAAATAAAAAAGTCAATCAGCTTCTTTGTTCAGGCTTAACCGCCCCTCGACACAAGCAGGTCAGTTTTGGCCTTAAACTTCAAACAGAAATTCGAAAGACACCAATTGGTAAAAGTTTTATCCATATATACAGATTCTACAAGTAGTGTAAACACTATTTTATTTTATTGAGGCTTATATGTTGTATGTACTAAATGATATTTAGTTGTCACAGGGACTTGTCCATAAAGTTCATAGGTATTTTGTACATTGAAACATATGTCACATAACTGTTGAATATCACTACACGTGATCAACAGTGAACATATTATTACAAGCGAAACAATATGATGGGTCTGGCAAGTGTTCATTCATGGACTTGTACAAAAATGAAATGACACAGGCCATTACATTTTCACTCTATGTTTGATAAAGCTATTGTCAGTTGATGAAGGTATATGCTGTACTTTTACTTACTTCGAATTTTAAAAGTCCATCTGCTGTATGTACTAATTGCTGTGACGATGACGTGACGCCATGAATGTAACAGTAATGCCCAAGCTTCATAACCAGTTGATGCTATGGAGAAAGAAATTCATGTATACAGGTTAGTGTATATCAAAACGATGAACCTAAGATTCACACAATGGACCTTTAAAATTTGATAATGCATGTATATAAAGTATGCTAAACATGATTTACACTGTACTTTACAGCTGTTCCGTTCCTCTAGGCCTCATCGGTGATACCAGGGACCGAAATTGTAGAAAAACCATTTTTTTTCTTTTTTTCTTAACGGGTACATACCGTCGGAGCGTCATACAAAAACAAAGCCTGGTCGAACTCGTTTGCGTCGATGACACGCTGGGTGGTTGGTGGCATTGGTTCTTGTGTTGTAAGTTCATCTAGAAATGATGGTGTTGCTGTTTCTTGAAATACAGTAAATCCAGATATCTGTATATAAAATAAAATCACAAATCAATCAAATGAATTCTGTTTTTACAGCACAGCAAGTGTCTTTTAAAACCAGACATGATGCAATTAACATTATTTAAACAATTGTCAGTTGAAGGAAAATGAAATCTGATTTGACTATATACGATCACTCAAAGAGTCAATTATCACTATTGCTGTCATTTGCAAACACCTACTTGCTATTTTGTGCTTATTTAGTTAAGGAATACAAAAAATAGCGGCTACAAAAAAGGAAGTATAAAATGTACACCTCTTTTTTTATTTCAAACAACATCTTCATTTAATGATCAATTATATTTTTTCAGATATAAGTTCGATAATTGAATTATATATAAGTTGAACTCTATCAGCGTAATGAAATCGTTATCTTTCACACTGTGACTGATATCAAGGGTGATATCTGTCAGTGGTAAATATCCCTTTGAGATGCCAGAACTGTTTTTGAACACATCATGTGAAGCGACAGTAAAGTAAATAGCTGTTTAGGTAAGTCATCGCTACATCAACTAGGATATATTTTCTAACTAACCTATTGATGCCATTCTTTGAAGAAAACATCACCTGATATAAGAAAACATGTACTATTGTTTCAAGTTGACCTTTTAAAATGTGCAGATTTCTTGTCAGGCGTAACATCATTAAAATATAGCGCCAACGATTAAGCTATCATCTCCAAAACTATTTGGTTGCACTAACGAGTCCGCCATTCTAGAGTTTTAGATATTACTTGCATAGTAGAATATACCAAAATGTTCACTTATGTTGTTTTTTTGTCTCGCAGGAAATATTAATGATCTGCCATACTCGTGAAATGTATATGGAATTAAGCTGAAAATCATAACAATTCCTCCATGTATTAGAAAGAAATAAACACCAATCCAAACAGATTATGTTTTAAGAAAAAATACAATATATTTTATATATAAAGATAATTAAGGTAGTTAAACGAAGTTCAAGTATAAACAATATTGTCAACACATAAGGCCAAATAAGAAACAAAGCACACATCCAATATACTAAGGACAACATGATACCCTATGTTACAAATGAAAGATCTATAGTGCACCTTGTGTATATTTTTGTTGGAGTACGTTAATAACATACCTGCCCAATCAGGCACACGGCGACAGCCAACGACCAGTACATTGTGTAGGAGTGATATGTCAAGAATGACACACGTCCATTCACACACGATATATAACTGGAGACAGAGAGGAACCGTGTGCAAAATGACCATAAGTGGAGCATTATTGGCTTATGTTAGACTACATATTTTTTAAGCGAAAAATTTCTCACTTTGCATATCTGGTGACCATTTCTCTTGACATTTTGCTGAAATATATATTCAGTGTTGACAAAATAATTGTTTGACAATGTATTATTTGTGTTGGCTAAGGATTTTAAGCAGGGATGTCATTGATAGCATTCTGGTGGCTATCATCGATAAGATATTTTTCGTATAAATTTACCTTGACCTTATGCGGGACACGTAATGATATGACCAATGTAAGTTTGGAAAGCCCATTCTAAGATACATGTATGAAAGACAAGAGGCGATAGTGGGGAACCAAAATCACAAATGACCCTATTTTGACAATTTTACTATAAGTTAACCATTTTAGTGTCTGAAATGTATTGTGCAACACTAAATCTGAATATTACAAGAGGCCGATTGCCACATTGGCTCGCATTTTTTGACAAATGTGTCTGAGTTTGTGCAATGTATTGTTAGTTGATTACTTGTTAAAAACCGATTTTATAGACATCATGCATATTGGTTAATTCTCCTACCTTATCAGCACCTGTTAATGTTAAATGTCAGCTGTTCTGTTGCCATAGTCAGCATTGTTAGCTATACAGATTTATAAAAGTAATATGAAATCTTCTCTTGAATTTGATATATCTTAAGGGCAAGATAATATTTCATAAAATCCGGTAATATAGTGATCATGCTAATACTGTAATTTTAACACGACACCAATGAGCATATCCTGATTCTTTATAATCACTGCACGATGCTTCCTACTTTTCCTTTAACAGAATCTTGACTTATAAGAAATTCTCGCTAGCGCATGCGTGCGAGAGCTCAATTACACGGACCTTAAGAAAATCTAGCACACATCTGATAAATACTATACACTGGTATATATCCGCGGTACTGTTTTGACAATATGCATTATTTTGTGCCTTAATACTCAAAGGGGCATGTCGATAGTCGCGCCAAATTGTGTTTAGAAATATCTTTGACTTATCACAGGAAATGGGAAATACGGTGTTGAAGTATTTGGTGAGACTTCGTCATATTGATATGACATTATATTTGGCAAAACAAACCACACAACAGCTATGTAATGGTCATGTATTTGATTTTATGATATATAACCAACAAACATATATTTAACCTGAATAATAACTTATATATTTTGAAATAACAAGTATGTATAAGTCAAGACCTTAAATTTTGACCTTTAATACTTCGATCAAGTTCAGAACGATGTACAATGAAAAAATCAATCATGGAAATTAAGGTTGCATATAAAAGTGTGATATTCCGTTATGGTAATGATGGATATGTTGGCTAGTGGCCAGTCTAGTAATGGGGGTTCGAGGTCTTTATATATATATGACAGATTATTTGTATACGCATTTCAGGTCCTGATTTCACTTATCTTACCTTCTTTATATATACACATTTACACACGTATTTATTTTATTATATCACGATTACTGAAACATTTTCACATGGACCTGCATTGATATGTTTGTACACCACAAATACATACCAAATACTTGGCATAACTTCCGATGGAAGACATTTCAATACACAAAAATTCCGACATAATAAGAGCTTTTAACCTACTTCATCTCTTAGCGTTTTGCTTTTGGATACTATGAGGGTAGCTTTTATTACTTGTCCTTCCCCTAACATCTTAACGATGGTGTTAATCGTGTTCTACCGAATTCACTCCGACATTTCTGTAGATTAAGTTTTGCTATGCTTATTTAATTTGGCATGCTTGGTGCAAAGTCCTTATCTGTATCTAACACATACAGTAGAGTATATTGCTGATAAGAATAAACCACTGTGACCTACTTATAAATAATGTACTTGTATTTTGGGTCAGCTTTATTATATCGTCTATAGTGCTACAAATTACATGAAAAATAAGAAGACAAAGGAAACAATATTTATTTGGTTCCTCGACGAAACACCGTCATATCTCGGAATGGTCTCGAAGCTTACTTTATTTTCATATAATATCATCAAGGCATAATCTAAAAGTATACTATTGCTGTTTTATACGTGTTTTGGAAAATATTTAGTAAATGTTTATTTGGATGTCTTTCACATATGTTTACTAAATAAATGATAGTTGCTAACTTAATCACCACCTCTGGTGTTCACAATCCTACTTATACAACTAGCAACAAGTAAAGACTAACCAAATACTACTTATTTTTTATGAAACACATCCTCAAAACACCTCTTTTATTTTTAACAAACATTGTAATTGAAAACCTTGATTATTGCTTTTAAATGTGATTTTTTTCAAACATTTCTAATATTACGTAATGGGTCTACACTAAAGATTTCTTTAATGTCTAAATGAAATTAGTTTTAATATAATCGGTATTTTATCAAAGTCAAAAACACTCGCCTTGTTTAATAGGAGAGTACAAGCTTGTGACGATGTCGGTCTCCCTACGGGAACATACATATGCTTTGTTTTTTGTTAAAGAGCATACTATATACATTTTCCTGGATTGTTTGAATACATGTGCATAAAACATGAATAATACATGGTGTCTTGCACTGCTTATCATATTATCAAGTGTCATTGAGCTGCGTCATTCTTGTCGAACGAGGATATTAGCTTCCCAAACCGCTTCCCTCATCACGATATATCCTGTGCGTTGACCGTCGTCGAATGCCTGATGGGAAGGAATACATCTTTTTGACAGAAATAGAATCTGCGACCGCCATTATGTGTTGTCAAGGAAACGCTCCTTCTTAAGCGCTAGGTTTCGCCTTCATGTTTATTGCAGATATTCTGGCTCATTTTCGTTTGAATATTGAGACTGCATGGTTTTTAATTTATCCTTGTCTGATAATGATGTAGCAAAATATATTTAAGTCATTGACCTGATCTTTTTTTTTGAAATATTGTTCATCAATTGAAAATGAATTTGTTATTTATTTAGTTATACACAGGTGTGTAAAGTGTTTATGTATGTGTCAAACTAACTTTTCATACAATTAAAGACTTTATTCTGATTCAATATCTTAAGAAATTACTTATAACTGGAGATTGCTGTGATAGACTTTATTTGCTGACAAAATTGCAACCGTCTTGATGCTTTTTGTCCAATCCCTACACATGTAAAAGCCTTGTCTGTCGGTCAAATTTAAACTTCAATGTGTGTATTATAACACAAATGCTGCCATTATGCATTTTTATATGATTTACAGCTCAATGGTATGACTGCAAGTCACTTTTACAACCCACCATCGTCATAGCCTCTAGTGAAATGAGCTCTGTGTTATTTCGACGCTCAAACAGTATTAACATTTTTTTAAATCTGCAAGATGATATAGTTTGTATTGAATATCGACGTCAAACGAACTATTGGTGTAGTTTCTTCTATAAGGATTATAGATTTGATTTATTTTTGATAATGCTTCTTGCCATTTTTTTGAACTATGTTGGTGATACATCTGCACTCAGATGAGTGATACATATTTGTGTGCTTCATTGTTTTTGGTTTGGTAGTAGACGAGACGATTACCAGGTTTGAATCGTACATCACATAATGAAGTGTATTCGTCCTTGAACAAGGGTGTAAATTAAAAAAAGTTATTTTGTAATATGACGTGAAACCATCGTTATAGTAATCCAACACAACGTGGTCAGCACGTGCTTCATTCACCAGTTCATATCCATATATGGTACACTATTTTTGCTCTTGACGTAGTCAATTGCAATTATCTGTTTGCTGCATGTCTTCTTTTTGCTCACACTGTTTTGAAATAACATGTATGCGTGAAGTGAATTTACATAATTAAGAATCCTCGTACCACAAACGAAATATAATGTAACTACGCATTTGAAACGGTTTTTACCAACATATTAACTACAGCTTTAATAAATAAATTCTGAGAAAATGGGGGAAATGTAAAATATCATCAATAACAGTTTTCTGAGTGTAAAAATAATATAGCAACACTAGAACGGGATTTACAACCTGGATTTCACATTGTTATACTATCGCTCTAACCGCTTGAGCTACGTGTACCAGCCGGACAACGGAAGTAACCAGGCCCATATGTGCAACAGTTATATCCAAATGAAATTAAAGAGTGGTTGCTGTTTACACCAAAGTTCAGTGAGACATAGATTCGTAAGCAGGCTGACTATCAGTAAGATGTTAACTATTAAAAAAGAAATTAGTTCTATTTTACAAAATTTATATATATTTCTTCGGCAAAGTTCTTAACCATACTAAAATAACTATCACACTTAATACGTACAGAAATTATTTTTCTTAACAAGTTGTACACAGTTTAATTTATATAGAAAATATAGTTTTGATCCTCCTGTTTTACAACTTTGTTGTCTAGTCAATAAATCTGAATATTTTGTGTGAGTGTTCGATATCTGTTCCATTGTACATTTCAGCTGTTGTGTTTATGCATTCAACAATTAAAAAAGGCGTAAACACATTGTAAATAGACAACAGAAATGAAAACTGACAGAGGTAAACGTTCAAGAAAACAGGACGACCTGTATTGATAAGTTAAGTTCGACGAGTAATGCGCTTTTTATACCCAGCGAGACCCATACTCGTTACCACGCAAGGACCAAATTAAAATCTCAATTGAAAGCTTTTTAACTTGCACTGTCAGCTTTAAATACTGTAGAAATTTGTTTGTCTATAGCAAACATCTTTCTACTTGTCAGTCTACTTAATACTGCAGATTCGCTTCACGAATACAGATTTTTAAATATAATGTGGGACAAATTTTGAAACCAGTCTGATATAGAATAAATCCGTTGAAATGAAATCTTTATTAAAAGGTTAGTTTATTCACCTACACATTTTTATATTGTAACTTATTAAAGTATGCATTGAAAAAGAAGTCGAGTGTGTAAATACACCGCGGTGGCCGGGTGGTGAAGGCGTATGACCGTCTCCGATCACTAG